AAGCGCGAAAACCATCGATTAATATGACATCATATTGATGTCATATGACGTCACAGTAACAATTTGGTACGTAAGGACCCCCCWAATGAAAATCCTGGATACGCCCCTGATGTATGACACTTWWRMAAAAAATATTATCGGGCACAAAAGTTAAGGGTAACCGAAGGTGATTTTGGGTACATGGGAATTTGAACMATATATGTCTAAAAATGAGTTACTAGTATTTATGCCCCAWGCTCCTTTTTGGTCGAAGTTTGATGAGAGCCATTTGAATGCGAATTTTTGTCAATTGGATTTGTTCTCATTTCCTTTGGAAAAGCAAAATTGATCAATCAAGGTATGAACAATCAATCGAATAATGGATTGATTACGACGATTGCTTAATTGATTGGATTGATTACGATGATGCAGGATTAATTGACGACGATTGCGCTTTGTATGTGTTATTAGNGAAGTGTCAATAGGCACAGTTTCACAGCTTCCTCCTTTCGTCGGCTTACATTTATAAACCGTACCATATCTCTCATGAACCTTATACCGTGAACCAGTTGGTACCGTCTGATTAGCTARTGGTGCACCTACAAGAACCCTGGGATCAAAGATAAACAGAGTTAATACCATTCCGACTTATATATAACTATATTAATTCTTTATCTATAATTCTTTTTCTAGAGGGCGAGATCATGGCTTCCAAATTAAGTGCTTAGCAATAACGGAAAGTTATATTGCCCAGAGAGGAGATCGAAGAATTACTATTTCCGAATATATTTCCAAGAGTCTTTTGCCCGGCATAACCTGCTATAACTTTCCAGCATTTCTATTTCATTTCCTGAGTGTTACGCGGTCCAAATATCGATACAATGTGGTTAGTATCCGACAAAACAGAGCTTTTTATGTAAAATTTCTTTCACTGACACTTATAGATTAGATATAATCTTGAATTATCTACTTTTGGAAGTTTATCAGCGGTCAAGTACTGGTGATTTATCGTTACAAAGTCATAGGCGGTTTAATACTGGATTTCACCAACGAGATCACTGCGAATTGAATGCAAGGGATGAGGGGAGGTGCGTTTATAGTCAACAAAGAAGACGTATGCGGGCACAACGGCAGCCGAAATAAATAAAACCGTTTGTTTAAGTCGCTTGTTTTCCTTTTTGGGTACAAGCGCTTAAGCACCCGCCCACAACAAGGGAGGGGTTCCAGGGGCATCCTGTGGCCACAACAATTGTCAAAAAAGAAAAACAAAGCAAAACAAAAAACGCGAAACAAAGATGAAATACAGGAAATATTCGCGGTTAAATTTAGATCGTGCCAGGAAGGATAAATCTTCTGAAAKCGCCTCCGAATTCTACTCAAAAGATCCAAGAATGTCTGAAATGATATCACACAAAGATTTTCAGTTCTTGATGAATATTGAAACAAATGTCGCGCCTGACATAAACCACAAACGGCAAACATCGTGAAATTAAATGATCTTACTCATCTTAGGTTACGAATCAGTCATTGTACTATGGCATATCAAAATAGAGCTCTATCGGCTTGTTATTGTAAAAGGTACTAGAATGTTCAAATTTAACATAAACCGATGGTAATARAGCGAATGGTGGTTTTTGAACTAAAAAACGGCTCATCGTCGTTTTGAAAAAGTGTTTCCCTGGGGATTTTCCACGCAAAATTGGTTAACTAAGTACTGTGAAGTGATCTGATCTATTGAGAAAACGGTGCTGGCATCCTTCATTAGAAATACAGCTTGTTCCAACAATATCAATGACACCTCAACAGGCTCTTAAAGAAGTACTAATTAAAGTCAAAGATCACAACAAAAACCTGATAGCGAGCATAGCCTAATCATGCCCTCTATGTTCTTTAGTTTCCTATCGTGTGCTCTTCAAAGTCTCATTCCCAATAAATGCACTCAACTTCAAAGTTAATTTACTAAAACCATTTGAACAAATGTACAAATTGTCCAAATTGATGTACATGGTTAGTAAACTTGCTTTGGACCAAAATGCATAAAAATTAAGTAAAGAATAACAAACCGCTATTAGTAAGATAAAGCAAGTATTAGATTGTAGCAATATACGATAAGAATTGTAATAGAGATTTGAATAAGCTTAAGTGTATTACCATATMTTTCACGCGTTAATGAGAAAACCACTTAAGTATAGTAAATACAATTACTCACGCTTACTTATAAACAGCTTGCTACGTTGAGAACAGTTATCGCAATATCATCAATTAAACAATTAAAAGAAATAGAAGAGTTATTTTTCCTTTGTCAGAAGGTAGAATTAGTGAGACAAGCTTACCATTTTTCGGCCCCGTGTGAGTGGAGCGCGACTGAAAACCCAAAATACTCGCCACTGGCCCCAGATGTCATCACTAGAGGTTCATGAAGGTCCAAGTTAAATGATTTCACTAAAACAAAACTAAAAGAAAAACTCCAAAATGCTTYAAAAAGAAACTTCATCGCGATGGTAGTACTCTCSGCGTGATCCTTGCCGAATGCTATCAAAATCCGTAAGGTGGCTGTTGCTTTCGCTTTGTCTTGATGATGTGCGTATTTGTGAGAATTCTCGCGGTTGACCAATTTTTATCCACAGACTAGTCGACCCTCAATCCCACCTTRTGTTAGTGATTCCTTACGATGACAGAACAGCAAACMCTATTGGTCAATTGATGGCCGCCTCATCCTGTGTGACGGCAGAGGTTGGTGACACTAAGCCATGAATTAGATATGTAAATACCTTCATTTACTCATGAACAATGACGACTGATTCCACCCACGTGTRCCGTAGAAAAATCCTACTGATGCTGTGATGATTGSATTATTTATAGATGTCTCAGTTAATTGGATTAAATTACATGAATTGCTATGAATGCTATTAAAAAGTATGGTTTTTTGTGTCAGGAATTTTTTACAACTCTAAATAAACTTCAAAGCTGAATTTGACCTTTCCTAAAACTAACTTATTTTAGCACATTTATTTTTGTTTACTTTGAAGACAACAGGAAGTACTTCCTTATGTCACGCAACGTTCAAGATCCACTCCTCCTGACGTCACACATTCCTCAATCAACGTGACGTCAGTATCAAAAAACAACGTGACATTACGATTATCATTGCCTTACTAATGCGACTTCATAGACTTTTATTGTACCTTTTGGTGTATTAGAAATCAAAATCGTGCATATAGATATAGGTTCTTTTAAGTTTTCCACCAGGTCTGAGCATTCTGACTGACTGGCGCTACAAGGAATGTTCCGGAACGTCATCGACGCACCTTCGGYAACTTTCGTCAATAGACCGAAACATATCCGACTGCACCCGAGATTCTTTTAATTGGATTTTGTCGGAATATCTTATTCAATTAGCCTTTCTGTAAACTACGGATATAAACTTGACTGAATAGCAAGCGTTCATAMAAAATACTTCAGGTTTTGGAGCAGACATCGGAAATATTATCCCGTAACATAGTGTAACGTCGAACATATTTCACCCCTTTTGCGACTAGTCGAATATCCGAGGATAAACTTTACAAAAAATGAATAAAAACAGGCAAGTAACGAAGTATTGAAGGTGTGGCAAATGGTTACAAGATTACAACATTTCAAAATCCAAATCCCCGAAAACACAGCGTRAGATATCGATATCGGATTTATGTCTGTAATTTTTATCATTCTTTACAAAGCGCGATCGTCTTGCAAGCTGTTTCGAAAGATATCGTTTTCAGGTCCCGGGGCTAAGAATTTTTCTTTAACACTTTCCCGGCTCGGCAAAAATATCGCGAGTAGCATGCATTTTGTTACCCCAATATCGCTCGAGTGCAGGAAGGCAAACTATAGATTTTGATCCCAGATGCATGAAAACGTTAGGCTATTAAAACTCATTATTAAGTTCCTGACGGTTTTCGTATTGTTGCATTTTTTCAGCAAAATGAAAATTTTAAAATGCATCAGTTCCTAAAACTGCCAAATCTACCCATTTCCCGACATATCTTTTGATATCTTGAGATAATGTTTTGTGCAAGAATGAATGGTATAGAGCCAGGTATAGGCTCGATAATTTAAAATTTGCCGCTTCTTCTGCTGTTTACACTCCTCCCCTGGAACTTCCACCCCCCGGAAGACCGCAGCAATGTGGACGACTATCGTGAAGAAGTCCTATTGATTCTTGTGTGTGATGTGACGAGAAAGGAGGAATGGCTGGTAAGATTTGAGAAAAGTTTACCTTTTCACTTGACAAGGAATCTCTTGGTACTTTTGTCAAACCACTAGAATTCGAACTATTGTCTTTCCATGCTGCTCTATGAATGGCCAACTGTTTTCCTTCTACAATTGGGATTCAAATTTGGTTTCTAGGCATTGTGATAATCCTGGAATTATAGGACGTCCACCGGAAAAACTCAGGTCAAGCGTTATCCAAAGCCTATCAAGATAAGAACGAAATTACCAACAGGTTCTGCGTCACATTTTAGTTCTTTGTGTATTTACTGCTCCTTTATTCATTGCTTTTCAACTAATGACTTTGTCTCAAATGCCTTTAAGATCTACGTGCATCAAAAAACCTTTGCGCTATTTTTTCACGTTCGAAAATAGTTGATTTTGAGCCAATCAGAAAACACCTTTTAACAAGGGACCATTTTTGAAACAAAAGAAACGACCGCAGAGGTTCTTGGATACACTTAGGCCTTTAAATTCCATTTTTTCGTACATTTTCACAAACCTGTCGTAGCGCATTCAGGGAGGAGTGACCCTCGTTACCCAGAAGGACTCTCTTATAAAGACCACAGGAACTCCACCCTCCTAGGTAAGGTATTCCTCATGTGCAAACAAGCATTAATGCAGTTATAATAACAACATCCCTTCTATATCCTCCCTGCCTTCTGCCCCAACCCACCAAAAAGAAATTTATATTTTTACATTTTAAACCCTTTGAAATTTGAAAATTTATTCGTTGGAAAAATTTCGCTTACAATAATTACCCTACCATACACTTACACTAAAATGATTTTGATAAATTTAAAGTGTACGTTAATAATAATACTTTTTATATATTTAATCAGCTGTTTTCCTGTTTAGAATTGTTTGCTTGTTGCTAATTTTCAGAACAATTTTAAAATTTAAGAGTTTAGTTTTAAATTTNAACTTTCCCGGCTCGGCGAAAATATCGCGAGCAGCATTTTGTTACCCAAATATCGCTCGAGTGCAGGAAGGCAAACTATAAATTTTGATCCCAGATGCGTTTAGTTAGTCTAAACATATTAATATTAAATTCATGATGGCTTTTAGCAAAATGAAAATTTTAAAATGCATCAGTTCCTAAAACTGCCAAATCTACCCATTTCCCGACATATCTTTTGATATCTTGAGATAATGTTTTGTGCAAGAATGAATGGTATAGAGCCAGGTATAGGCTCGATAATTTAAAATTTGCCGCTTCTTCTGCTGTTTAACCCCCCCCCTCCCCCTGGAAAAACCGCAGCAATGTCGGCGACTATCATGAAGAAGTCCTATTGATTCTCGTATGTGGTGTGACGAGAAGGGAAAGGTTGCTGGTAAGAGGTTAGAAAAGTTTACCTTTTCACTTGAATAAGGAATCTCTTGGTTCTTTAAAAACTGAAATAGATTTTAATACTATTAGAATTATGTCAAACCGCTAGAATTCGAACTATTGTTATGAATGGCCAACTGTTTTCTTCTACAATTGGGATTCAAATTTGGTTTCTAGGCATTTGTGATAATCCTGGAATTATAGGACGTCCACCGGAAAAACTCAGGTCAAGCGTTATCCAAAGCCTATCAAGATAAGAACGAAATTACCAACAGTTCTGCGTCACATTTTAGTTCTTTGTGTATTTACTGCTCCTTTATTCATTGCTTTTCAACTAATGACTTTGTTTCAAATGCCTTTATGACCTAAGTGCATCAAAAAACCTTTGCGCTATTTTTTCACGTACGAAAATTCACCATAGTTGATTTTGAGCCAATCAGAAAACACCTTTTAACAAGGGATCATTTTTGAAACAAAAGAAACGACCGCAGAGGTTCTTGGATACACGTAGGCCTTTAAATTCCATTTTTTCGTACATTTTCACAAACCTGTCGTAGCGCATTCAGGGAGGAGCCCCTTCATTACCCAGAAGGACTCTCTTATAAAGACCACAGGAACTCCACCCTCCTAGGTAAGGTGACTCTAAGGTATTCCTCATGTGCAAACAAGCATTAATGCAGTTACAATAACAACATCCCTTCTATATCTTCCCTGCCTTCTGCCCCAAACCAACAAAAGGAAATTTATAATTTTACATTTTAAACCCTTTGAAATTTGGAAATTTATTCGTTGGAAAAAATTCGCTTACAATAATTACCCTACCATACACTCATACACTACAATGATTTTGATAAATTTAAAGTGTACGTTAATAATAGTACTTTTTATATATTTAATCAGCTGTTTTCCTGTTTAGAATTGTTTGCTTGTTGCTAATTTTCAGAACRATTTTAAAATTTAAGAGTTTAGTTTTAAATTTATGGCCAATTGTTGAATAAAATTCTTACTGCAAAATAAACATCAACAAACTATGGTCACCTATYTGTCAATCACAAGAAGAACCAATCAAARCCATTTTCTCATGTTCTCAATGCACAAAATTGAAGCATCTTAAAMACCAAACGTTGATGGCTGCAATCTAAGTGTTCTCTGATTTGTCTTAAAGAACTATCACATTTGGCTTGCTATTATAAAGTGATATGTGAGAAATTGAAGCTAMGAGCCTCCTTCACAAGCAACTCCACTCCATGGGATTCCTTTGTTAAGTMACAGCTTGACCAAAAGGACATATAATCCTGTTTACTCTGGAGAAGGCTGCAAAGGAGGCTATGAAGCTGCAATACTTGACACGGCAAAGTCTTTATCAGGGATTTCAGGGATTTTAAGTTACTGGCAAATGTTACATTTTAATCTTAAGCTAATCAGTGTCGCTTTTGCACGCTTGATTTTAATCCCTGAAATCCATGATAAAAACTTTGCCGTGACAAGTATCTAAATACAATTGCAAAAAGATCCCTAGTTATTGGCACTGCCTCCTTAAAACCCTGATGAAAAACCTTTTTGTTCCTCTGCTTATATACAATAATTATTTGAATAGGAAAGTGCTAATATGACGAATATGAATTACTGTACTGGACAATATTCTTTCATATTTCTTACTTGCTGAAAATGATTTTTGAAAAAAGAAAGAAAATAATTTTTCAATTATTGTCTSTAATTAAGCCAATAGTAYGGATGCCAATTTTTTGTCTTTTGACTGAATTACGATAGCCTGCGTACATCCGGTWTATTTTCAAAATTAACYGTCGTGTTTACGGGTAAACKCTGGATGAACTCAGGCTAGAATTACGACTGCAAAGCAGRAATAATTGACAAAAAATGGCATCGACATTAATCAAGCTATTTCATCAATTCAAAGTTCATAAATAATTTGAAGACAATTTTATGTAAGAGTCTAGYTATGTTTACTTGAAGTCTTCTGCGCTGAATAGACCCTGTTGACATACAACAAAAACAACCAGTGAATGTGTTGTTATCCAAAATATAACCAAATTATTGAT